CCCCATCCCCCCGATCAGGGCTCCATTCAGTAGCATGCATTAGTTCGTAGGGAATTAGCACGGTACTTTGAGCATAAATTTCCCTTTTTTATGGCCTTGGTCCTAGTTTTTCCATCTTTCTCATTACCTAATGGAAAAGCACCAGCTGTATTCACGTTGTCGAGGGTGCGGTGGCGGAGTGGTTAGTGCGCTCGTCTCCGAAGCGGAAAGTTCGGGTTCGAGCCTCAGTTCGGACACGGATTTTTTTCGCCCCCTCCTTCCCACCCAGCAGTAATGGGTACCTGAATTCGAGTTGGGGACGTACAGGCGGTGTGGAAAGAAACTGGCCACCCTACCCCTATGCCGAAAGCCCAGGAAATTCTCACTAACAAGACAATCCCAGCTATGTCCGGATCGGATGCGAGAACGACTTTCCTTTACTCACGGATTACGTTATAATGGATACCAGTTACTAGATCTACTCGTAACCAAAAGCTTTTCCCAAAAGGCAGCACCCCGTCCTGTCAAATGAAAAGAACTGGCAACGAACAATTAATATGGAAAGTCGCGCGATTGCAAGGGCGCCAAATAAAATTCAAGGGAAACAATTGTAGATATATAAAACTTTAAGATCGTTTTAGATCTACACGATTTATCTCTCTTACTGGTCGCTTCACGTCATATTGTGTTTCCCCTTTTTTTAACACGAGAGACGGGATATTTTCGACAGGTACAATATTGTAACACCAATAGCCAGTTTAGGACCAATCTAGAAAAAAAATAATGCCATTTATTGCAATATTTTGACTTGTATACCTTAGCTGCATTCGTCTATTTCTTATTCTGACCTACTGTAATGCTAAAAGTAAAAGAGTATCCTACGAAATAGGCTACATTGTTAATAATATTATTCAATTCACGAAGTACAAAAATAGCTCTTAATATCGTAGTAAACGTATTTTCTAGCAACCAGTGTGTGCTATTTAAAGTGAGAGATTCTTAAATGATATCTCTTTATAGCTTGTTGTAAGTGCGGTGTGGTTTTTAACTGAGACTGGATACCGTGATATAGGCTAAAAGTAAAAGGTTCTCTCCTTTAAATAGCAGACTTAACAAAAAACGCGAATCCCGGACTGCTCTTCAGTTCAACAGGTGCCCGTAAGTGTTTGATCACGTGACTGAGTTTCCCCAACAACAGCAAACGCCGTTTACAAGCAATATGGCGGATGTGTGACCGACAGACCAGGGTTCGCGCATTGTAAGTATAATTTTACTTTCCTATATTGCTAGTGGTTTGCCAGAATCTTTAAAACTGTGTTTGATACTGATCACATGAAAGCCTGGATTTCTTTTCACTGGTAATGCTGATATGGAAAAGGTTTCATACTCGTTATACCATACTTTCCGCCGTATCCAAGCGAGTTGTTGCTGTTACTGTTACTGTTGTAGTTGTAAAATAATGGAGTGTGTAAATACAGACAGGGCTACTTTTTTTTAGAAGAAGAAAGAAGTAGAAATATTATCTTCAACAGATGCGTTGATCGCCGATGGTCATAGACGAACAAATTATTATTGTCACTGTTTTCTCATGCATTGAATTACTGAATTTCTTTTTAGTTAATGAATTGTATGGATCTAGAATTCTAGATATCTAGATCTAGATCTAGATTGTTAGATTCTAGAAGATCTAGAGGTATGTAGAACATTTGTAAAATTCTCATGTACCAATAATATAGACCTATTGAGTTTTCTTACATTAAACCTCTAGGAGTTTGTTGTTGTGACAATAAGACTTTCAATAGTGTCATTTTCATTATGTTTAGCTTTATTTTTAAAAGGTTTCGGACTGTCATAAGCTTCTAGAATCAAGATCTAATCTAGATATTATAGGTTTAAATGACATTTTTCTTCAGCCATTTACAAAAATAAATATACAGAGACAAGATGATCGGAAAAATTATTGGAATGTATGTTTCAGATGCCGGTGCTGAATTTATAAATGAATGCTTATTTTTTGTTACACTCACTTATTTTTAAACATTGGGTAGACGTTAAAATTTGGCTTCATTCTGCTCATGAGTCTGTTTTTAGATAATAGTTGTAGGCTACATCAACTATAGTCTTCGCCTACCGTTGATGACTAATGGGGGTTTTTTCAACAAGATTCACGAACACGTAGCCTAATGAATTTGATGATTTACATCTTATTGTAACTTTTTCAGTAAAGATATGAATGCTTGAAATGAAAACACTATGTTACTTAAACACAAATAGAATATATGTATTTTGAGATTCAGGACCCTCTCCGCTGTTTGCAGTTACTGAATAGGCAATTTCAGTTGTCATTTGATTTCATGAATCCATTATGGAAGCACATAGGAGATTAATATGATTGTAGAGGGTATCTAAATTATTTTCTTGAATACTTCAGCTTTATTTCACGCAAGGGTTCTTTACTTAAACAATATTCATGGGAATAAATGTTACGCAGCGTGGGGAAATCAGGCGCTCGTCAAAATAATGAAAATCAAGAAATACTGACGTTTTTCCGCAGGTTTGGAAATTTTTATCGAATTTTTGTATTTTGGCTCTACACCTTTCATGCTCATTAAAAAACACATTTCTCTGTGGTTGTACTGAAAAACGTTGATTAAAGGCATAAAAGATGAAAAATTTTTAGTTTCTAGGCCCTCTTCAGCTAAGGAAAAACTAAATTTGGTGGCCTTTTTCTCACTAATTTTACCTCTGAAATCATGCGATCCCTACTTCATTTAATGGCCAATATCTCGACTTGTATCCTGGATAAATGGATATTTTTTTAAATCAAAAGCAAGAAAAATGGACAGGCTGTAAGATGATACTATAACTCCATATGGCCAAAATTGACGAGCGTCTGATTCCTCCACGACATGTCACAAATGCAAAGAAATCCATCCTTGAAGGCAAAAGTATTCTGAGAAAAAATAACATGACTATTGATATGTGATAGTTAATGTTGGAAAAAAGCTCAAAACTCAATGTGTTATTGAAGTGGTCTGAAAATATCAATCAGCCTCTAATGTTTAGATTGTTAATACATGTTCTAACAAAGGAAATCGGCTGCATTTCTGGATACAATAGAGTCTGCTTTTACACTGAACTCCTTTAATCTGAAAACGACAGTTAACTGAAATAAAATAATAGCCCTGATTTTTTTTCTTCCATTCAAGCAACCTCTCTAAATCGAAAACCAGGCTAAACGGAATAAAATCAGGTGGTCCTGCAGATGTTTGTTTAAGCAGACACCACTAAACTAGATATTGTATTGACTCTTTGAACATAACACATTCAAGGAGGGTTTGAATTATAGCCTACAGAAGAAAAAACAACATGATTTTGTATATGGTTTGTACAGCATGAGTTCCAAGTGATCAAATTTCTTCATTTTCATATTGCTTCAAAATAAGGTCAATTATCTATCAGAAATGTATACACTATGATATATCAACAACTGTCCCTATTTAGTCAAGCCCTTTCCACTCTCCCTTACTTGATCATTGGAATTGTGTAGTTTCGGAGTACATTACTCAGAAATGATAGTATCTATAGGCCTATCCAAAAAATTTGTGGAGTGCAGTTGTGTTTATAAAACAAGGTTTTATCTGTAAAAGTATTGTCTATCAAACCCTAAACCTCTTGCTTGCTTTAGCTGGTTACATTGAATAGGCCTAACTCATAATATGCAGCCCGTAGCATAAATTTTTGGGGTTTCAGAAAGTGTTTTAAAATCATGTTTGAAAGTTGTGTTAACCAACAGTAGTATTATTTTGTTTCACGTCTGGGATGTGTGTGGAAAATCTGATTTTTTATGTCATTCATAATTTTTCATAAATGTTACACTGATCTATTTCTGCCTTTGTCTTTTCATCTCTTCAATATGAAATGAATATTAAAAATTAACTATGAAGCTAGGGTTAAAAATTAACCATTTGTTGTTGTTGAGGGGTTTTTTTTGCAATACTCTTGAGAACATTATGAGAACAGTTTTTAAAGGAGCGTGCCATGTGATTTGTAAAAAAAAGTGTTTTATTAAAATTAATGGTTGTTATACAATGCGCCTGTAAATAGTTGTTTTATTTTCTTTTATCTAACACTTTTCACTACGTCAGATGTTTTCTTTTTTTTTTTTGGGTACAGGGGAGGGTGGCATTTCATTAATAAATTGAGGGAGGGGGTTAGCATCATTGTTTTCACATTTTATGTGGGTGAGTTTCATAAAGATATATCATAAATCTGCAAATTGAAGGTACTTATAGTTTTCATAGATATATTAGTCTAAATGTGTTTAAGGTTTAGTGAGCTACAAAGAAAATAGCAAAGCTGATAAATGTTTCTTGTGTATATAAGCCTACAATTTTCTCATTTTTAATATTTATTTTTTTTGCCAGTTAAATTAATATACTTTCCAATTTGTTGTTTTTGTTTTGTTTTGTTTTGTTTTTTTCGTCACCTCCTTATGTTCAAAAGAATGTAATAGACTGTTCCGTAACTTGGCTCACAAACTGAGACTTGCATGCCTTTATTTTAGCCTCTTAAAATTAACGATGAATTATAAGATAAAACCTGTGAAATAGCTCCTTCGAACGAGAAGTAGGTCTTCACCGTAATAGGAATGTACATTATGTAATAGTGTGTGCTGGGCAGCGGGGAACGTTACAAAGAACTCTTTTGTAGCAGAGTGTAAGCATTCCAGACTCGAGGTTTAGTGTGGAAGTTTATATACCCCCAGACTTTTACCTTGGGCTTACCGTTTGTTTGATAAGGAGGATCTATAAATAATGTGCGAAGTACTGCGAAGAGACTTTAACTGCTACGAACATATCGATTAATTTCATTACTGAACGAAATAGATTTCTCCTGAGTGATTTTTTTTTGTCTAAGAGCGGCAGGGAAGGAAACAAGAGAAGCCAGAGAAGGAACCTGTTCAATAATCCATTGAGACAATAGCAAATGGCGGTGTCTGTGATTGGATCAATATTTTTATTTTTTTTTAGCTCCTGCAATCTCCGTCATCTCTTTGCCGTTACCCTTGTGTAAACTCTTCCTATCCGTTGGTTTCCTTCCTGGGCACAGTAATAGGCACTCCTCATCCCGGGTCTTGATATTCGATGTGTCAGACTATTGACAGAGAGAGAGAGAGGGGGGGATATAGAGAGAGAGGGGGAGGGAGAGA